GCCGCTTGGGTCAGGTCGCACACTATGCTTGCTGTCTTTCCAGAGACCAGTATTGTCAGGTCATCAGCATAACCTACTGTATAGAAGTGATTGTCATTTAATTTGCTGATGAGTTCATTAATGACCATATTCCACAGGAGAGGTGAGAGAACCCCACCCTGCGGGCAGCCTTTCTTAATTTGGATTGGTTGAGATTCACCAGCAATCTTTATTATTCGTGTACTGAGCATGTAAACTATCCAGTCGATCAGTGCCGGTTCAACTTTGTGTCTACCGAGTGCACCTTTTATGCTGGAGAAGTTCGTTCGGTCAAAAGCACCTTCTATATCTATGAAGGAACCTAGACATATTTCTTTGTTTTGGATGGCCTCTTCAATCTTTGTAATTACCTTATGAAGGGCCGATTCTGTTGATCTGCCTAGACTGTAGGCGTGTTGCTTGTCGTGTAGTGGTAAGTTCATTAGCGCCGACCCCCTTAATTCCCTTTCACACATCCTCTCCATCGTCTTTAGGAGAAAGGATGTGAGGCTAATGGGCCTGTAGGATTTAGGGTCAGTGTAGTCGCTCTGTGTGTGTGTACCTGGTTTGGGTATGAATGTAACTTTCACTTCCCTCCATCCCCTAGGAACATATTTAAGAGCAAGACAGGCTCGCATTATGGCAGCAAGTCTGACTATTAGGGCTTTACCCCCCCACTGTAGGAGTGCCGAGAATATGCCGTCGGGTCCTGCCGCCTTATAGGGGAGGAAACTGTGAATGGCCCAATGGATTTTGTCCATCGTTACCACTCTCTGTGCTAAATTCCAGTCTTCTGCTGTTGATGTCAGTATGTCGTCATGCCGGTTTGCCTCCTGGGTTACGCAGCAACCTGGGAAGTGCGTTTCAATTAGGATGCGTTGGGCTTCATCCGGCGATGTTGAGTAGCTACCGTCGGGTTTCTTTAGAGACATGGATCCCGACGTGTTCTGTTTAGCTAGAATATTCCTAATCCTATTTGCTTGTTTGCAGGTTTCTATGTTGCCACAGAATTTACGCCACCCAATCGAGCGTCGATACCTGATACATTTTTTGTATTCAGACTTAGCTTTCTTATATAATAGCCAGTCTTCATCCATTGAGGTATTCATGGCCCTATTTAGAGCTTTTCTTACCTTCTTACGTTTTCTATCGAGTTCTTTACCCCACCACGGTTGTTTTACCTCGGCATGTCTTGGTGGAGTGATTTCTGGACATGATTCATGGTAGCTGTCTATCATGGCCTTAGTAACAGCTGCTACCTGTTCTTCTAGGAGCGACTGATCTGCTATAGTATTTATCCCCTCAAAATCCGCTAGCAAAGACGTCAGCCTATTTAGGTATTTAGTTTTATCTGTCTTGCGGGGATTTCTCCATGGTGGTGTAGAGGGGATATCGACCTGTAGTGCGAAGCAGATCCATCTATGGTCTGAGCATGAGGCCTCTCTCGACACATGCCATCCCGTAATTAGTTTGGCTGCTCCTTCTGTTGCAAGTGTGAGGTCGATTATAGTGCGACAGCGTTTGTTTATGAAAGTAGGTTCAGAACCTATGTTTAAAATGGTTAGGTTAGTACTAAATAAATATTCAACTAAAACTTTACCTCGTTCATTTGGTTTTTCCATTCCCCAAAGGGGATGATGTGCGTTGGAGTCCGTCCCGATCACAACCTCTAGTCCGGTCCTCTCGCAGAAGTTCACCAGCCTGCTGAGGTCATGAGGGGGAGGAGTGTCTTCCTCCGGCATGTAGACCGAGGCGACGACTAATCTACTCTCCTGTGTGTACTGTATTGCTACGGCATACATGTCTCTAGAACAGAAATCTGTTAAAGGTTGTGCACAGATATCTTTAGTAGTGTAAATACACGCTCTAGGCTTGTCGTGTTCAGAGCTGTAGAATAACTTACCTTTTAGGTTGTTTAGGCCTTTAATTTTACCAGCCCCAACCCATGGCTCCTGGATTAAGGCTATGGCAGTCCTTTGAACCTCCAACCACTTGCGTAATTGAGCCGACGCAGTTTCGCTGTGGTGGAGGTTGGCCTGCACTAGGCTAGTTTTGGACGAAGGGCACGCCATCATTGATCGCGTCCTCCCCGTCCCCGCCCAAAAATAGGCCTGCCAGAAGATCTCGGGTTTCATCGTCAGCCACCGAGTCGGAGGTGGTCGGCAAAATGCAGTCCTCCTCGTCACTCAGTGAGCTGCCGCTGAGCCCAATCTCCACTGGGGGCTTCGGCTCAATTGTGCAGGCCGTTTCTTCACTGGACTTGGCCTCCAGTGATTCCGCTGTACCGGTAACTATGGCTCCGGTATCCATAACTTCCGGGTTGTTTTCTACCTCTTTGCTCGGTGGAGTATCAAAGAATTTGCCTCCACGACCCTGGAATTTTACGTATACCGCCTCGCATACACATGCGAGACGGCGTCCGGCCTTCATCAGGGTCGGGATATGATCCTCCGGCACCGAAACAACGAGGAACCACCCGTCCGTCTGCTTATCTGCCTTGAGTAACAGCCAGTCCCTGATGTTAACCCAGCGGTTCTGGTACGCCAACACGCGACCAATGTCGCGTGAGTCTTTCCAGGCCCCCTGGGCATCAGGGATAAGGATACCACATTTGACTCTTTGTGGTATCTCTGACTGTTTCTTTATTGTCAGCAAGGTGCTGGATTTAAGGTCGAGGGTAGCAATGTTCCCCTTCAACCAGTCCAGAGCCTTCTGATCGTCGCACCACAGTTTCAGGACACCTTCCGTATAAACGGGTTTGCCCCTAAAAACTGGGCCCGACGCATCAGGGTCCTGGCTACTCCAGGCCTCGCTGATCATCTTCCTCTGTATTGCTACGAGGATGTCGTCTGCTACTTCCTTCGTAATGTGACCTGAACGCACACACGTTAAGGCCACACCCAAATCTGCTTTAGCAGCGGAAGCGTAGCTCGTTCTTGCAGTCTTTGGTTGCTGTTCGAGTCTCACTTTTTTGTGTTCACCTCTAGGCGAGGTGGACTCTTCCAGCATCCTTTTGGCTGCTCTTTCCTTCTTCCCAGGACGCTTGGCCGCTCGCTGCTTCCTGGCGGATATCCTAGAACTGGTTCCCGCGTCCGCGACTTCCACTTGGGCTGGATTTTTATCCTTCCCAGCTTCAGCGCGGCTACTGGTTTCAGCGCCAAGCACCCCAGTCGCAGTAGCTTGCCCAGCCTCCTTGGTTTTGGTATCTGAAGCAGCCAATGCGGCTCGTTCTCTACGGCCTTTTTCCCGCTGCTTCTTGTTCTTCTTTTTGGCCTTTCCACTACTGCCTGCAGGGATAGACCCTCCTGATGGTCCGTCAGGTCGGCAAGTCACCTTTTTGGGTGCCTTGCCTTTCCCCTTACGGCTCACCACTTGCCAGGCAGCAGAGAAAAGGTCGTCAGTCCGTAGTGGCTCCGCAGTTTTATCACTTGCGGGCTCTTGTTTCTTTTTCTCTTCCAGCTCCTTGGAACTGGTTTTGGAAACGTTCAGCGAGGTTATCCCTTTGGTGGGGGCACCTACGCTGGACGGTACTGTCCGTGGAACCGTCGGTTTAGTGACGGTTCCCTTTTGTTCTTTGGTGTCTCTGGTAAGCACCTCTGACACCTCTCCCTCCTTCTTATTGGGCCTTAAATTGTCCATAATTTGTGTTTTTTAAAATTCATCCCCCCGGCTTCCCACCCTCCATGGAGCCCGCACCTTTGGGAACGCCCTACTTTAGGAATTTCAGGCGTTAGGATTACCGGGAGAATATAGGGACGCGAAGTTGGCTCACAGCGCGACATCGGGAGCTCGATCCAGCTGGTAGATGGGGCTGACAAGGCCCATCCCCACCACCCGAATAAACTGTCACTTGCTCCGTCAGCATGGCCTTTACCACCACCCAGCCCCCTTTTCAGGAAGACTAGGCAGCCCCCACATCCCTCGCCTGCGACCCTCTGACGGGGCGCTTGGCCATTTCCCTATCTGTGGCTTGCAGATAGGGCCACCGTTTAGCTTGAAATCCGGACCAAAGAGGGCGTGTTGCCTCTCGCCACTATATACCCCAGCGACGATCGGCTCAACCCTCCAGGACTCCTTCATCCCCGCGTACGGCGCTCGACTGCGCAGGTCCTAGCGCAGGTGGGTGTGTTAGTCCACCGGATACACCCACTCTCTCCGGCGGATTCGTCCCCTCCTCCTTTCTCATCCGGGCTTGGGACCGGCAACGGCGGAGTTATTATTGTCTATATGTCTGTCTGTTTGTTCCGGCTAATCTCCGCAATAGCTGGACCGATTTTGACGGGATTTTCACTAGCAGATGGCTGATATCACAAGGAGTAACTTAGGCTACTTTTATTTTAGAAAAAGAATTGGGGTTCCGCGAAAAAAGTTAAAAACCCAAATAACACGCGGGCGAAGTCGCGGGGAACAGCTAGTTTTAAATAAAAATCAATAACTGTCCCTTAGTCTTGCTAAAACTCAAAAACGGCTTGACCGATTTTAATGTTTTTTTTGTGTGTGTTTAAATGGGTCCCTATATAGTTTAGATTCACGTTTGAACACGTTAGATGGCGCTGTTATCAAGATCTAGAAATTACTGATCAGCAATTAATAGAAACCTTACCTTGTTACCTTGCGGAAATCAATTATATTAAAGATGTGCATTAATTTATTAGTTCAGATATGCGTGCAAAATCCTTCCTCCCTCTACCATCACCATTATTTGAGAAGCAATGTATATACTTTTCGACGTGTATTGGAGGTGATGAAAGAGCTACATTATATTATCATCTATTGGGTGTCACAAGCGGCAAAAGATGAGAAATGAGAAAATGACACAAGCATGTTCTTGTTCTTTATGATAATAAAACATTTAAGCCTAAAATCATTAATTGATTGTCAATAGGTAATTAAAAATTGCACAATCAATTAAAAACTAATCCGCGCTCCATTTGCAAATAATTAACGTTGTTTGTTCATTGAATTATTCGAGATTTTTGTCAATGGAAGACTATGTGGGTATAAATACACACAGACGCTTGTATTCACTATCAGTTTCGTCAAGTAAGAAGATCTCACATCACTACCATGAGGGTACGACATTTTCGTAAATTTATAATTTCTTATTTTATTTTTCTGTTCGTGTTTTTGCTTGTAGGTGTTAGTTTTTATTACGGAGAGCCAACATAATTACAAAGTGTGAGCTATTCCATCTTTGTTCAGGGGTAGCTAGTAGCGAATCTGTAGCCATCTTCGTTTATAGTTGGTACAGATAACCACAGACCACTGAGTCTCGGGTGAACTGGCTCGTTTTCATAATTAGTTTTATACGTGGTAGAACCACACTGCAGCTATTTATGGTTGCAGCACAAAACGTTCAGCTCAACCGGAGATACACCACGCTTTCTGAGAATACTTGCGCAAAATAGCAGTATAACGCTACTGTGTTACGTATTGGTGTGTGTAGAGAACCTGAGACATTCTGTACTGGCAATGAGGCATTCCATCTTAGTCCTCACGGGTGACAACACATCTGAATTTTGATTCTTAATCAAGGATAGGTGTAGATGTCTATAAGCCGCAGCTCCCACTTACCATCAGGTCGACTTTGTGCTCGTTTGTCACCCTTTGCTCCATAAAAATGTTGGAAATTGAATTCGACCATAGGAAATATATTATAGTAATTGTCTTATTAATGTTTTGTTTATTTTATTTACGTCTTTATTATATATTTCTTTGCCATTTATGCAAAAAAATGCCCCATTACTGAGCTGTACCAGTAACGACTCTAACATCCGTTTCTTCAACTTTCAATATGCATATTAGAGCGTGCAGAGATCTATAAAAATCTAGCTAGATCCTTAACAACATGCAATATTTCTACCTAATTTCAGATATATGCCATATTCGCCCTTGTTGTGGCTTCAGTTGCGGCAAAGGGATCTGGCCCATACTTACCGAGTGGGTGGAGACCAGAAGGTCCAGCTTTCTATCTACCTTCAGAGATTGAGGTGAGTGTGTGTCTATTATATTATAATTAAATGAAAACTCTTCATTTTCGACCTAATTGAAACTTCGTTTGTCAAGCGTCAACATATTATATAATCTACTATCAAAACCTTATGAATTTGAAAAATTTATAAAATAAATGGTCTTTGCGGATTATCTTATATATAACGCCACATTAATAGATCCGACCTAAACGAAGCCGGGACAGGGCACAATAACTACCCTACTGCCTACGCCACAGCTTTAATATAGCTCGAATGGGTTAACTTGATTGAGAATGAACACAATCCCACAAAAACAAACTTGAAACGGAAACCAATTTCAGTATAAACGACGTTTGAGAATGTTGGTGTTGATAATTAAGGAGTTGGGTCTAAACGGATGCCAAACTCCATATAGTTACTTAAAAAAGTTAAAGTTAAGTTACAGTCTATATACGTCCCACAGGTGGGCACAGGCCTCCTCTCATTTCTGAGAGGGTTTTAGGGCAAGGAAATGTCCGCCGCGCTGCCCCAATGCGTGTATGCGAACTTCACATGTCTTCGTATCCTTATCTCTCAGACATTCAGTTTCCACACGGAGTTTTCCTTCACCGCCGAGCACGTGGTAACTCAGCACTTAAAATTAATAATGATAACAACAATTTCATTGGTGCCGACGGGGATCGAGCCCGGGTTACTCGCGCACTGTGAAACTTACAGCGAGCGCTAACCATCTGAGTTACCACGACTCTTTATAATAGTTTAGTTTTATTTAATAGTTTTTTTATAGTTACTTAAATCATTGGATTCACAGAGGTATATCACATTACAAGGTTGCATGTCTTTGATAACTAGCTAGCAAGTTAAACAGGAGTGAATATATTGTAGCTGATAAAGAAAGAAGAAAAGTAATATGTTCTGATATAAGCTTTGTGGTAACCTTCTTCTTCATCACGTGAAAGACCATTGCTGAACATGTGCGTCTCCTATTGTAGAGAGAATTTACTTTAATCTTTATGTATCCAGAGCCTGAGTCGTTAATCCATACATTTACATATTCCATTGGATGAAATGGCGAGATGAATTCCCCTACGTTGCCACTGCATGACATATCATTATCTACTGCTATACAAAGATTTACCCTAAAGCCTCAAACTAGGATCGTAATTCGTCCGCAATCTTCGACTACACATAACACTCCCAATTACATAATGCTTAATGGCAGCTTTAAAAATGTTTTAATAACTTAAATAATTTATTATTGGATGCTAATTTTATATAGTAATAACAATATTCTTATAGACAATTTTCAACCATAGGCAACTTCTGGATAACGAAAAGTAATCAATTGCGCATTATATCATCGAAAGCAAGAAATCTATACAAAGAAATGAAATTAAAGTGTCTGTTTGTAATGTCAAAATAACAGCTTTTTACTAACTGCATATGAAATTATATACGGTACTTATAACAAAAACACAATTTTTAAAATTTTTGTCTGTCTGTCCGTCTGTCTGTCTGTCTGTTTGTTCCGGCTAAACTCCGAAACGCCTGGACCGATTTCGACGGGACTTTCACTGGCAGCTGATGTTCTAAGGAGTTACTCAGGGTACTTATATTTTAGAAAAAGAATTAGGGTTTCGCGCAACATAATTAAAACCCTAAGTTACACGCGGGCGGCGGCGGGGTAAGTCGCGGGGAACAGCTAGTCAATTATATAATGCTAGTGGAATTATATGGCAAATATGGATTCCTAATACTTTCTTCACATTACAAGTTCATCAGCATAATATATTTTAGGCTTTGTGGTAACCTTCTTCTTCATCACGTGAAAGACCATTGCTGAACATATGCACATTCTATTCACACTAGGCAGTCTGATTGATGATTGCAATACCAGACGCGGAGCACCTTGGGCGCTGCTACTCATCCCCTTATTACGCCTGTTGTGAATTAAATGGCTACAACGCCCTCTATCGAAAGCCTTAAGAACTTTATCGCGTATACGATAGTAGCCACTTATGACACATTGGGTGCGCTTTTAATTTGTACGTAGCTTTGTGAATACAACTTTAGGTAATGCAATTAAGGTTGAATTTACATTAATGTATGCTTATTACAACTAGAATTACGTTAAAGCAATTGGCGACAGTTTATAGAGAACTTTTTCATGGGATTGTGTATCTGTTTTTTTTTATTAATGATCGATGCACCCACCGGATGAAATGGTGGTGATGGATTCTCTTGTATCGCCATCACATAGTAACCTATCTATATTAAAGATAGCTCAGTAATAAAAATATTTTTATTCCGACAGAAGTCTAAAGAAAGTCCAATTAAGGAGGCTGTAATCCAAGAGTCCGAAGCGTCAGGTTCGGATTCTTTCCAAGAGTATGGTCCACCAAAGGTTCAAGAAGTGTCCCAAGACCTTTCCAATCAAGGTTTGCCAGATGCAGATATAGAACAAACCTTCGCAGCGGTCAATTTGAAGGTTGAACAAAACGAAGGAAAAGAAGTTGTTGTAACAGAAGCTCAACCTGAAGTTACTGAAGAGGTTGAAGGTAAATTATCAAAAATATTTTTTTAAATATTGGATACAATTTTAAACAATAGTAGGCTATAATTCTTATCAGCCTTTTACCTTTTGACTTTACTTCTTATAAGAATTCCCAAAATTGAAACGAATGTTTCATTTGGCGCATTTTATGAAGATTGAAACACTCATACATAGCTTTATTAAAAAAAATGTTAATATAAATAATTAATTAATGAAAAGCATATTATACGCAATTCAATGTATTATTTACAGAATGTAAAATAATCCGAAGAACTGTTTACGTACTTTAAATTATAAAACAGATTTATAATTGGTTAAATAGTCTTTCCAGCTATGCTTAAATTAAGAGTACAATTGTTTTTTATGCGTTTTTATTCATAACTTTAGTGTTAGTTTTACTTATTTTACTTACTTAAATGATATATTTTAGGCAAGGTAAACGAGGAATCAATTTCAGAACAAATAGTACCAACTACAGAAACGTTAGCTCTCGTTGAAAGTACAACTACAAACGCTGAATCTGAAATTATAACTGAAGCCCAGCCAGCTGTTGAGGTAGTAACAACTCAAGTTACAGATGAAACTAGTGCAACTGTCATCAAAACTGAATCAAAAATCACACAAGGAGAGGAAGCAAGCAGTGGTACTGAACAACAGGAGTCAGTTAATCAGCTACAACAGAAATCTGTGGAGGTAACTCAGCAAGAAAATGAGAACGCTAATAGTGAAATTGTATCCACTTTTGAACAGAGGGTACAAGAAGAAGAAATACAAACTATAGCAAAAGAAGTAGAAAAAATTGAAACCGAAGAGAAACAAGTAGAAACAGAGGTGGAGAAAGTGGAAACTCAAGTGCAAAACTTCGAGACAGAATTCGAAGCAGTGGAGCAAGAAGTACAAAATATTCCTGAGTTGTTGATTAACTTAGATAACGAAATCAAAAAGCAACAGGTAAATACATTATAAAATATAAATAACTTAAATTTTAATGATTTTAATAATTAAAATTAATAAAATAATTGTCTATTCTCAGGTCGATTTACAAGAAGAAGAAATACAAACTAAAGCAAAAGAAGCAGAAAAAGTTGAAACCGAAGAGAAACAAGTAGAAACAGAGATGCAGAAAGTGGAAATTCAAGTGCAGAACTTCGAGACAGAATTCAAAGTAGTGAAGCAAGAACTCCAAAATATTCCTGAGTTGTTGATTAACTTAGATAACGAAATCAAAAAGCAACAGGTAAATACATTATAAAATATAAATAATTTAAATTTTAATGATTTTAATAACTAAAATTAATAAAATAATTGTCTATTCTCAGATCGATTTACAAGAAGAAGAAATACAAACTAAAGCAAAAGAAGCAGAAAAAGTTGAAACCGAAGAGAAAAAAGTAGAAACTGAGATGCAGAAAGTGGAAACTCAAGTGCAGAACTTCGAGACAGAATTCGAAGCTGTAGAGCAAGAAGTCCAAAATATTCCTGAGTTGTTGATTAACTTAGATAACGAAATCAAAAAGCAACAGGTAAAAACATTATAAAATATAAATAACTTAAATTTTAATGATTTTAATAATTAAAATTAATAAAATAATTGTCCGTTCTCAGGCCGAAAACATTCAAGAAAAAGCAGACACGAAAGTTACTCTAGAAACCTTTGGGTAAGATAATATTGTTAATTTTGTTAGATTTTAACACTAGAATAAAAAAAAAACATTGAAAGCTAATGTCTGTACTATCCGCTTTTTATTCATGAGTCCATAAAAATCCGTTGAGGGAAATTGACTTATTACAAATCAAAAAAATTGGCCGCTTCGCTTTCATCGGAATATTCTAGTTCCATCTTATGAACAAACGCTTACCCGATAGATTGCCTCATAAGGCGATTTTGCCATAGTTGCGCTTGATTGGCGCTTGCAGAATCAAACTTACTTTTCACAACTTTAAAGCCGCGTCTCCACCAAAGTTTTGTTGCCAACATAACAGTTGCCAACACGTGTTGCCAACAAATGTTTCTGTAATCACCTGGTCTTGGCAACAAAACTTGAAACAATATCGGGAACCGTGTTTCTATTTTCGGCGGCAACATCAAAGGAATACACTTGTTGCAAACATTTGTTCCCTCGGTGGAGACGCTTCTTGTAACATTTTGAAACATTTTCGGAAACAAATGTTGGCAACTTTTGTTGATTTTTCAACAGTTGGAAACATAAATGTTGTCAACATTTTTGGTGGAGACGCGGCTTTACACTGCTGGTCCTCTCCGGCTTGTGTACGTTTTGCGTGTGACTTAAACTCTATCGTTATACTACCATCTATTCTAGGGCATGATATACCTGGTTTTCCTCCAGTTGACTTTTGCGATAATCCCAGACTCAGACAAGTCTAAACAAACTACTATGATGAAATAAAAAGTAACAGTGGAAATAATATTTTTGTGATCATTCTTAGTTCTTACCAACGCGACATCTTTTTATTAAATATTGTTTGTTGATCCAACCGTGTAGAGGCGGTGTAAAAATATCCACTACCCCATATCATGCCGTGGGTGTAAATCCCCTCTATGTTCAGTAGTTGACTTTTACATTTTTACATTTATTTGTTTTCACATTCCCTTATCCTTATTCGAAAAACTTTTTTATGAAATCGTAAACTTTGAATGCATTGTTAGTGAGTCTGCAACAATCTCAATTCTTAAAAATTATTCATGTATTTTAATCTCCCATTAACCAGGCTATTAAAAAGGACTAAATCACTTTATTTTAAGAAATAAAAAAATATATTATAAAAGACATCAGGCGTATTTTGATTTGAAAAATTGTTTAAAACTAATTTTCAGGTCTCTTGAGCAAGCTCCTGAAGGCTTCTTGGAATATGGTCCTCCAGGTTTCAAGGAGTACGGACCTCCAAAGGATGAACTCAGTTCTACAGCCGAGGTAATTAGCTATTACGAGTATATAAGATATTAAAGCTATTTATAACTGACTTCAAAAAGGTGGAGGTTCTAGTTCTATTCGAATGTGTTTTTTGTAGGTATGTATGTTACACAATATCTTCGCAAATTGTGAACCAATTTTGATTATCCTTTTTTTATAAAATAGCTTATACTTCAAGGGTAGTCCCATGTAAATTTGGAGAAAAATATAAAAAAATAACTTCTTTTTTAGCAATTTTTTTTTTTTGGTTTTCACATTTAGTTAAAAGTTATAATTATATCTCAGCTAACCAACATTTAACACGTTAGCTGCGGCACCAATTTTTGCATACTTTCCGTTCCTGCGGCACGAGGTATAATCGGCCCGTACCGTGACCAGACGTTAGGGCGACACGCGGTCTATTAGACCCCACCTCCTTTTACAGACTAAAATCCATTTTCTGGCGCGAAATCAAAGATAAATGAGAATTTTGGTCCTTATTGATATAGACAGTGAATTGATGAACCCTAATCCACCGTCGCCCCGGGATCTGATGGCTAGTTTAGGAATTATTAGCAAAACAAAATATGGGATCTTATACACCTCGTAACGCACTGAAATAGGGCAAATTTTCGCTGCGATTAGTGATGGGAAAAATAATATCGACGTTTTTAAACTGTCTTAACAATGCAACGACTTGACCGATTTTGATCAATTATATCTCATTAGATCGTTTTAAGGGCAAAACCTGGCAAAACAACACAAAGCTATCAAAGGATACATTTTTTTTAAATAATCTAAATTGTGCTTGAAGGCGCCATAAAGAAAAAAAAACAGGCCAAGTGCGAGTCGGACTCGCGCACGAAGCGTTCCATTCTATACCATTAAGAGGCACCTATTACAGACTTATTATTGGAAAATAATGGATTACGGTTTATGCATAAGGTTTATCTTTCTATTTGTATATGAAAATCTTAATGCGGTTCACAGAATAGAAAAAAAAGGCAATCAGAAGTAGAAAAGAAACTGTCCTATTTATTCTGCCTCGGGCTTTAAAAATACAATTATTAGAACTTGAATTAACATTAAAAAATCAGTATCAATATACTTTTTTTATAAAAATCTCAATATATATGTTGTACTTATTTATGAGTGTTTTTCATTGAAACAGGGTAGACAATAAGATTTTTTGCACTGAGTGCACTGAGTCAAAATCTTTTTGGATTTTTTATCAGCTTCACGAGATGGTAAAAATGTGCGTAGTTTTTGGTAACAACCAACACATCTTCTCCTTTTTTCACCCTTTTCGAGGCAATGGCGTGCGCTTTCAGGTGCTGAAAAATAACAAAAATATAAAGATAACGTAATAAAACTGACATTGTTAATTAGGTTAGATCGTAGATGAGAATAACAATGATAATGTAGGTATAACTGCATCAAATGAATGTGTTTGTTTTATACTTAAAATGTTGAAAGAGTAGGTAGGTAAGGTAGCTTAAATTCAGAATAATTAAAAGGAAACAATAATAAATAACTTAATAATGACCAAATGTCAAGCTTAGTTTATGAAAGCTTCAACACGTTGACTGTCAAGAAATATATCTAAGCATTACATTACCTGGGGTCTCATCGATTTCCTTTTTTATTAAAGATTCTATAAGTTTCTCCACAAAGAGTCTTTTTGGTAACTTTTTTCCATCAGTTTGGATTGAATTAAACACAATCCAGGCATTAATTAGCGCCGTACCAAATATTAGTTCCATTACAACTTTTCTCCACTATTTGATTCCTCTCTTCAAAGTTGTATAATAAGAAGACATCTGGTCAGAAAAGTCAATGCCTTTTTTTGTTTTATTGTACAGCAAAACACATCCCGGTTTTTTTATGCATTCGTCGGTTCCTCTCTTCTTTTTTCCAGTATCTATCAGGTTATCATCGTGATCTTTGCACGTAGTCAACATCAAAACATTCTGTTTATCCATCCATTTCATTACCTTTACGCCCTTTTTGTTCATTTTTCCAATAATTTCGCCTTTCTGCAATTTGTAACTAGTAACTTGCTTTGGCAGATATTTCCGTATTTTATTAAGTGTTCCACATAAAAATGTTTTTTGTAATAGAAGATCTTCTGCCAGGCCCAACGAAGTGTAGTAATTGTCTACTATTACGATTCTACCCATTTCTGTCAGATTTGTCATCAATCTTAACACTACTTTTTTACTGTGTTCTAATTCTTTTTTCTGATTTTTTTTCCCTGTATAAACCTCTAACTCAGAAGTATAACCTTCGGGAGTGCAAAGCTTATAAAGCTTTACGCCGTACCGGTGTGATTTGTTTTTTATGTATTGGCGAAAACCTAGTCTTCCTCTCCATGGTATCATGGTTTCATCGATTACCACATACTTTCCAGGATTTGCAATACGTCGAAAGTTTTCTGTAATCTTTGTGAACATATTTCTAATTTTATATAGTTTGTCAGTTTGGTCTTCATTTCTTACATCACTGACATGCCAGCATTTAAGTAGCAATAAAAATCTGTCTCTTGTCATTACTGAAGAAATAAATTCGTTTCGATACAATTTGTTTCTGCTCCAGTATAAATTTAAATTAGGAACTCTACACAAACCCATTGCCATTAAAACAGCCAAAAATGTTCTCATTTCCTGAGAACTGGTGTCACTCCATTTTGTCATGCGTGAATTACGTTTCATATTTTGTTGATTTATTTGTATATACTTTTGTGCGTAAGCATTTGTTTCAGATACCATTATATCAATCATCTCATCTGTAACAAACATCTTGTATATATCTTCAGGTGTAACTCCCACAAACGGGGGTAAATTAAACGTACATTCTCCAGCGAATTCATTAAAAGTTATGGGACTTTCCGATATATTTTCCCACTCATCGTGATCTTTAGCTTGCGTGCCGGGTAATGTTTCGTCTGTGACTAAAATGTCATCTTCTGTAGCTTCTTCATATTCACTATCTGGAGATAAATCCTGATCTGAATGAACGCAATTTTCCATTGAAGCATACTCTTCCGAATCACTACACTCTTCCTCCGAAGGACTATAATCATTGTCAGTACCGCTAAAATTATCATCTTCCATATTATTACTCTCATCCAACTCAGGTGATTTTCGAATATTCTGCACACTGTGACATATTTTGTTTGTTTGTATTATATTATTGTTTTCGCAGTCTATATGTTCAATAATATCATATTCGACAATATCAGGTGATTTTAGAACAGTTGGCAATTTGTTATTCATGTCTCGTTTTCCTTTAACATTGTCATCAGGAATACTTTCTATAATTACAGAGACCTCTACTATTTCATGACTTTTATTGGATTTGGACGGATTAAAGTCTTCTGAATATGTACATTCGGATGTAACATTTTCTCTCGGTCTTTTTTGTGTCGGAGTACGAAGTAATTGTTGAATGTTGTCCTCACCAAGTGATATATTACAATCCAGTAAATTGGAGCGTGAGATTTCTGACAAAGATCCAGCTCTGCTCTCCGTAGTTATATGAGGAAAATCTTTTGAAGGGGAACCTATAGGATTTTGTTTTTTTATTTGTGAGGTTGAAGCACTAGAAGCGGACAAGCGAACATTCTGCAATATTTGACAAGTTTTTCCGGTACTAGGACTGAGATACACTGTTTCTTCTTGTGTTTTGAGTTGAATAGTTTTTAGGATGTTTGGACTGAGGTTAACTGTTTCTTCTGGTTCTTTCACTTGATCAGGATAAATTGAATTTTTTTTAGTGGCAGTCTGAGCACGTGTTTTTGCTTTGTGTTGTAATGTTCTTGTATTTGCAATAATTATAGAGCTTGGGTGCCCATGTAAGAAAGTATATTGTTTTGTATTGTCATACTGTTGTTTATCAATGACACATTCTTGTTGTGAGCTAAATTCATGTAAAGGTACGATTTTTTCAGTTATATTTGGTTCAGTAGAAAAATATGTTTTTGACGTTTATTTGTTGGAAAAATCTCTTCATCACTCTCATCGTCAAACACATTTTCAATTGGCAATGTTGGCCGATTGGTTGGTTGGACATCACTTCTCGGTGGACTCTGAAAAAAATGACTCACATATTGTATTTTGCATAAACAGGCAGTTCTCAGCCACCAGTAGTTATTTATTGAGTGTACTGATCAAAACACGGTAAAAAAATAGAATAGAAATGACAAGAAAAAAAACGATACGCAAATAAAGCTGTGTGGTGCCGGCGGCGAATAGTACCAACCCATTTCATCCTGTGGGTGTCGTAAAAGGCGACTAAGGGAATAAAGGAACACAGAAGACGGGCAGCAGCGTCTCTGAACCGTTTGACATCTTACTGCGATCGCCAACCCGCCTGCCAAGTGTGGCGATTATGGCAATTCCTCCCAAATGTTTGGGAGAGGCCCTTGCCCAGCAGTGGGATCCCTACGGGCTACTAAAAAAAAAAAGCGGGCTCACCGACTAGTTTAGGTATTATGATATTCAAAGTAGGTACTTTTCTTTATAGACTATTTAATAGATCGCCAAAAATGTCTCTAAGTTCAATCATTTTCATATAAGTAACCAGGTTTGTAAAATATCAAAATGTCTTCGTCATAGTGACAATTCAGTACCTAATTAAAAATATTGGCTTTGTATGACCGGTACACTTGAAAATAGAATTAATAAGCTGCTAGAGAAAGCCTTTGCTTGGTGATAGTTAAAACAAAGTGTTATTCTTAAATGAAAACCCTCTTTAGGTGGTGATACAACTCGTGAAAGTAAACAAGTTTCAGCAAAATAAAAGAAAGAAAAAATATAATACTTCCTATACAAAGTCCCAAGAGTAAGTTTTGTGTGACAATTTAATTTTATTACCAATAAGTATAGGTATCATAATTAAGGCAACCAGTTGGAACAACTGATATTACCTGTATACAAATTTTCTTAAAAAAGTATTTTTACAAACGATAAAAAAGTATTTTTATCGTTTTCTTATGAAAGTTGTTCTATTTCGCGAGTGGTTACAACCTAGGAGGGTTCGCTTTATTAGATGTTATATTATTATTCATGTAAGTGGTGCAAAATATAAACAGCAGTTTAAAAATAGAGATGAATTTGGCATGCTTATTCATTACAAAAAACAAACTCACACACACACACACACCACACACTTTTAAAGAAAGTTTTTAAGATTTGTTTTACAATAAATACTTAGAATCCCAGTCCCACTCCGTAAACGCTTTATTCATGAACCGATAGCAGATTTAATCGAGACGCATTAAGCCTAGATTTCGAGTGAAGACTGAAGCGAGTGAAGCTGCGGTATATTATATATAATATACTGTCATTTTATACCAAATAGTCTGTATGCTACATCTTTCTTCTCGAGCTTTATTATGGTCCAGATTATTTACATGCGATTACATTTGGCAGCACCTTATGTTGTTGAATATTATGTTAAAGGTTTAATATAAAAACGGTGTATTAGTTAGTGCAAAATTAATTCTCGTATCAAGCTTTTCACACAAGTAATCTTATAGATAAATGTTAGAAATATCATATCCACGCATGCTTATACAAAACGTACTTACAAACACTGCAATCCTTTATTTAAGATGGGTAAAAACAAAACATTTCATATTAAAATATTGAGTTTCTTAAATTACTAACACAATAATTTCTGTACTTTTACCATCGTACAATAATATACTCCGCCTGGTGCTCTCTTCCGACCACGTGACATATATCGTAAAATTTACATAAGTCGAATCTAACACACTTAACAAACTTGGTGATTAAAAATATCCCTTTACATAGGTATTTTGTTGTTTTTAACTTTTTAGTATTATTGTAATAGCGGCCTACATAATTTGAGAAAACTTCAACTATCTATCTATCGCGACAAACGGACAGACAGCGAAGTCTTAGTAATAGAGGGTCCTGTTTTTATCCTTTCGATACGGAACCCTAAAAATCTTTAATATTTATATACCTACTTTCAAAACCTAGACAAAGAACTACTGAAATATTAATTATATTACTTACCTGTTTTGTCAA